ACACACATACAGGTTTCAACATTTCACTCTGAGACTCTGTTAGCCTAGCTTAGCACAAAGAGTTGAATTAAAGCTGTAGTGTGGTGTGCAGTGTTGGGAGGGTTACTTTTAAAATGTGTTCCCCTACAGATTACTGATTACATGTCCTAAAATGTAATCTGTAATGTGTTCCCTTGGATTACTCAAGTAAAGTAATGTATTCTAAATACTTTTGGATTACTTTTAGCTCACTTCAAAATCGTCTAGCTGAGCGTGTTTATCTGGAACAGTGAATTTAGTTAACACATGCTTTGGAGAACGATCTAATTACTGTCTTCAGAGAAAAAGTACACAAAACACAAATGTGGTCAATTTTGTCCTGCAACCTCGTGGTGCCAATACATTAATGGACTAAATGGCAGGCTGCTGGCATGTACAACAGAAGAGGTCCACCACGAGTGGATTGTTTTTAATTCTGCCAAATGTGCTTTCCTCCATCATTCATTTTGCCACTTGTTAAACTCTCAGGGACAGATTCACTGAGCTCCCATTTAAAGAGTACTAAATTGTGTGTTCACTCCAAAAGTTTGCACGTTTGGTTGGTGGGCGTTTTGCGGGTGATCTACTAAGAAAATTTGCGTGAATGACACCAGGTGCAAACCTTGTGGAGGCGGAGCTATTTAAGTTAGGTTGTTCTACTGGTTTACATCACGGAGAGTTTGGACAGAAAGCAGGACGACTGCAAGCGCAAAACAGGTATTAGAGAGAGAGGCAAATAAACACACAATACTTTAGAGTTATAGGAGATAAATCTGAATGTTACAAAGAACATGTGGTTATAAGAAAACCTGGGCATTAAACAGGGCCTCTCTTTTCTTCATCTTAAGAATGAAGTGTCATACATTGAGCAGGAGGTGTGAGCTGTGTCCTCTGTGGACCGGGCGCTCTACACTCCCTGTTGTTGTGCAGCAGACAGCTGGTCAGCGCTGTGTCTGATCGGACATAAATGATCTGGTAAGAGGTATCGAAGACGGGGGTACAAACAGTGGTGAGGTCCCCCAATCAAAGCGTCCTACAGAGTATCAGCAGCTTTAGAGGGAGGAGACGAGCACATTATGGAGAGGAGCGCACCGCAGGGGGCGAGCTGGAGGAGAGACGTACAGCCCGAGAAAAAGGAAATCCCAGTTTAACATATAATGTTGGTGAGAAGAGGGAAATAGGAAGACATAAATGTAAATGTTGAAATTCTATAGAATTCAGAGGCTGTGGATGTTCAGTTTTCTTTGGCAACAACAGCCTGTAGTTTAATCACAGTGTTTCTCTTCCTTAACGATTAGAATACTGAATCAAATTAAAAAATAAAGGCATGACATTTATTCTTCTGTCATTTGAAACATGGAAACACTGTGATGTTGGGGCCTTCTTGACCAGGTTTGTAGGAAAAATGTTCTCTGAATTTCCATGTCAACAATGCATGTTTGTCCTCCTCCTGGTCGTTTGTCTCATCCTCTGCCATTGTCATTGTGTGGAAAGTGCTCTCGCACATTGATTTGCAGCGTACCTGCGCACATAAAGCCACCTGCAACCTGCGTGTAGTGCCGTGAAGTAATCCCTACAAGTAATCCTTTTTTGAGAAAGTAACTGTATTCAGAATACATCAATTTAAACTGTAACTATAACGGAATACAGTTATTTTGTATTTTAAATACGTAACGTCGTTACATGTAATCCGTTACTTCCCAACCCTGGTGGTGTGTTATGTTGTGTATTGTTGTGTTGTTGTGTTGTTGTTTATTGTTGTTGTGTGTTGTGTGATGTTGTGTGTTGTTGTGTTGTTGTTTATTGTTGTGTTGTTGTGTGTTGTTGTTTATTGTTTGTTGTTGTGTTGTTGTGTGGTGTTGTGTGATGTTGTGTATTGTTGTTGTGTGATGTTGTTGTTTGTTGTTGTGTATTTTGTTGTTGTGTTGTTGTGATGTTGTGTATTGTTGTGTATTGTGTTGTGTATTATTGTGATGTTGTGTGTTGTGTATTGTTGTGTTGTTGTGTGTTGTGTATTATTGTGATGTTGTGTATTGTTGTGATGTTGTGTGTTGTGTATTATTGTGATGTTGTGTGTTGTTGTGTGTTGTGTATTATTGTGATGTTGTGTGTTGTTGTGTGTTGTGTATTATTGTGATGTTGTGTATTGTATTGTTATGATGTTGTGTGTTGTTATGATGTTTTGTGTATTGTTGTGTTGTTGTGATGTTGTGTTTATTGTTGTGTTTATTGTTGTGTTGTTTGTTGTTGTGATGTTGTGTGTTGTGTATTGTTGTGATGTTGTGTGTTGTGTATTATTGTGATGTTGTGTATTGTTGTGGTGTTGTGATGTTGTGATGTTGTGTGTTGTTGTGTGTTGTTGTGGTGTTGTGTATTATTGTGGTGTTGTGTGTTGTGGTGTTGTGTATTATTGTGATGTTGTGTATTGTATTGTTATGATGTTGTGTGTTGTTATGTTTATTGTTGTGTGTTGTTGTGTGTTGTGTGTTGTTGTGATGTTGTGTGTTGTGTATTGTTGTGTATTATTGTGGTGTTGTGTATTGTTGTGATGTTGTGTGTTGTGTATTATTGTGATGTTGTGTGTTGTGTATTGTTGTGTTGTTGTGTATTATTGTGATGTATTGTATTATTGTGATGTTGTGTGTTGTTTATTGTTGTGTTGTTGTGTATTGTTATGATGTTGTGTGTTGTTGTGTGATGTGTTGTGTTTATTGTTGTGTGTTGTTGTGGTGATGTTGTTGTTGTGATATTGTGTGTTGTTGTGTATTGTTGTGTGTTGTTGTTGTGTATTGTTGTGTGTTGTTGTGGTGATGTTGTTTATTGTTGTGTGTTGTTGTTTGTCGTTGTTTATTGTTGTGTTGTTGTTGTGTTGTGTGTTGTTGTTTATTGTTGTGTTGTTGTTGTGATGTTGTTTGTTGTTGTTTATTGTTGTGTTGTTGTTGTGATGTTGTGTGTTGTTGTTTATTGTTGTGATGTTGTGTGTTGTTGTTTGTCGTTGTTTATTGTTGTGTTGTTGTTGTGATGTTGTGTGTTGTTGTTTATTGTTGTGTTGTTGTGATGTTGTTTGTCGTTGTTTATTGTTGTGTTGTTGTTGTGTGTTGTTGTGTTTCCAGCAGCAGTGACAGATGGAGACCTAGCTGAGCACAAACTAAAACTGATCAAACACAGTGAGGGATGTTTTTATGCTCATGCTAAGCTAGGCTAACAGATTCACCATGTTTCTAAGCTTTAAGCTCAGACAAACATGTTTAACCTGCTACTAGTCTTTATGCTAAGCTAGGCTAACAGATTGAGCCTGCTTCCAGTCTTTATGCTAAGCTAGGCTAACAGATTCAGCCTGCTTCCAGTCTTTATGCTAAGCTAGGCTAACAGATTAAGCCTGCTTCTAGTCTTTACGCGTAGCTAGGCTAAGAAATTCCCTCTGATTCTAGTGTTTATGCTAAGCTAGGCTAAATGATTGTATTCTTTGTTCATACTGTAGATAGACTAACAGATTCAGCCTGCTTCAAGTCTTTATGCTAAGCTAGGCTAACAGATTGAGCCTGCTTCTAGTCTTTATGCTAAGCTAGGCTAACAGATTGAGCCTGCTTCAAGTCTTTATGCTAAGCTAGGCTAACAGAGTCACCATGCTTCTGGTCTTTATGTTTGACTAAGCTATGGGATTTATTGTTTATGCTATGCTAGGCTAACAGATTGAGCCTGCTTCTAGTCTTTATGCTAAGCTAGGCTAACAGATTCAGCCTGCTTCAAGTCTTTATGCTAAGCTAGGCTAACAGAGTCACCATGCTTCTGGCCTTTATGTTTGACTAAGCTATGGGATTTATTGTTTATGCTATGCTAGGCTAACCCTGTCCAGGTGTCTGTGGTCTCACCTGTGCTCAGTTTGTTTCAGGAGTAAATCAACACTAACGTGTGTTTTCTGACAGATCATGTCTGTCTCTCAGATCACCCCCACGCTGTTCCTGGGAGGGGCCGACGCCCCACTCAACGCCTCGCTGATGTCACAGAAAGGCATCACGCTGATCGTCAACGCCACCATTAACCACGCCTGCCCCGCATACCCAGGGGTGGAGTTTGTGCGGGTTCCCGTGTCGGACCTGCCCAGCGCTCGCCTTGGAGACCACTTTGACCGGGTGGCTGAGCGTATCCATGGAAACCATGCAGGTGGCACTCTGGTGCACTGTGCCGCAGGCATGAGCCGCTCCCCGGCGCTGGTGATGGCATACTTGATGCGTTTCAGAGCAGTGACTCTGTGCCAGGCGCACCGCTGGGTTCAGGAGAGTCGGCCGTACGTGCGTCTGAACGCTGGCTTCTGGGAGCAGCTGCTGCGGTACGAGAGGAAGCTGTACGGGAAAAATACTGTCAGGGTTGCTGCGGTCGAGGAAACGCCACCACCGCCACTCACACCGAGGACGCAGAGGTGGACGCGGGCGATGCCGCCGCAGCAGACAAACTGGTTAACGCAGGTTCCAAGGTCACCTGTGATGAGCCGGGCGTCTCTGATTTCACGCTCACAGTTGCTGACTCCAACAAACCAACGAAGAAGAGGAACCAAATCCAGCAGCTTCAAAGTCTGAGCAATTAAGACTACATTACCCACAATCCATCTGGACCACTGACTGACTACACTCTGACAGTTCATGTTGTCAGTAGGAACATTTTGTTTAAGTGACCATATTTGGACAAGTGGGTGGAGTCGTTTGCCTTGAAGTGATTTCCCTCGCCCCTCTGCGGCTCCACCCACTTGTCCATATATGGTCACTTCTAGTTATAAAAAATAAAGATGGCGATGATGTTCATGTAGTAAATTATGGTCTCATTTAAAGTCCAAAAGACCATAAACCAGAGGGGTTTAGGGAGGGGCTACCTGTGATTGTCACCATGGTGACCTGTCAATCAGAATAAAGTTGTTGCTATGTGTCACCATCCTCTCGTCCAAATATGGTCAGAAGATGTGAAACAGAATCAGCCTATCACCTGCAGTCTCTGTTTGATTGAATGATGAACACTGAGGAGCCGCTCCACCAGGAAGTTAGCGTGATGAAAGTGAAGAACTTTTATCTCTTCTTTTACCTCTCTCTTAAATCTTCCACAACTATATCAGGTTCTCAACAAGCTGCATCCAAAGCACTCTTTGTATCAGACGTAAATCTAGCTGATGTGTGGAGGGTACATAACTCATCTGCTAAAGACTATACCTTCTTTTCTACAAGACATGAAACCTTCTCTTCAATAGATTACATCCTTCTATCCTCTGGTTTGCTGCCTTCGGTACAATTAATAGAATTTTTGCCCAGACATTTATCAGCTCACAATCCATCCATTTCCACTTTTAATTATGGGAATATAAAAAATAGGGCTACTAGATGGAGGTTCAACTCATTCACAGGAATGTATTACACAATTGAGAACAGAATTGGCTGAATTTATAGCTTCGAACAAAAATAGTGTCACAGATGTGAAAGTGGTTTGGGCCTCCATCGAGGGCTTCATACGAAACAACGGTATATGGTTTAGTTCACACTTACATAAAAACCATTTTGAAATTGTATTTCTGAAAAAGATTAACAGTCACCAAAATTAGAATATAATATAATCAAAAATATATTTTAATGGAGAATAAAAAAAGAAAAAGAACAAGTCCCTCATTATTTTATAAAAACAATTTGATTCTTTCTGTAGAAGTTTTTTTATCTTCATAAATGAGTGAATAACTTAAAATACTAACTAAATAAAAACTAAACAAGTTTAAGAGATAAAACACTTCAAAGGTTTTAAATCCAGATTAAACCTCTGACTCTTTGTTGTTGTTTTTCTATTTATTTGTATTTTTAGTTTAGTTCATTTGTTTAAATCATGCTTAGTCTGAAAAGTTTCTTTTGTTACATTCAGCTCTGCAGGGGCTGCATGCCCAGTTCTCAAAAGTCCCTGGACCTTTACAAAGTACATAACCCCTAGTAGGGTTTTTTTCAGGGTAGATCTTCTACCCCAGAACTACATTTAGACCCTGTAGATCTGGTGGAAACGGGGCTTTAGTGTTTTATAGATATTTGTGTGGACTTGGGACACAGAGCTTAAAAACGATCAAATAAAGCCCCCCTTCAAACAGCTCAAACACAGGAAACTGGTGAGATAGGTGAGCTTCAGTTTGTTTATGTATGCTATCAAACCCAACAGCTTGATACACATTTTCAGTGTAACAGACAGTTTGACTGGATGAATGAATATTTGATTTTCAGGTTTGGTCATTCATATGAATCCCTCGTGGGAACTTTTCAGTCACATTAACTGAGAATTGAGTAAATATTCAGATATCCAGCCAACGTCAGACAGCACAGTACAGTAAGAACATGAGGTAAACATGAACCAGCCCAAATAACGTTCAGGAGGTCAGATAGGAGCTCCATACGGAGTAAAAAGTCTAAACTAACCAACACAGCTGCCCCTAAACACAAGATGCTATACACAAAATCAAGTTCCTCTTAGTATGTCACTTCAAAACAGTTTACATTTGATCCTCTTCATACACCAACACATTTCATAATGAACCCCCCCCCACACACACACACACACACACACACACACAAATCACCATCAACATCATCACCATGACAACGCAGTCACACAACCCTAAGAGAATCAGAGACGAAGATTCAGAACATCATCATCATCATGTATTAGTGTTCCACAGTCACAGAGATCTTCTCTGGTAAAATCTTTAGTTTATCACCAGTGCTAATGAATGGAAACATCCTCTCAGTGAAAGTGTGTGTGTAGGTGTGTAGGTGTGTGTTAGTATCAGGATCAGAGAACGACAGCTCTCCTCTGTTACAGTCCAGATTCACTCTGATCCTCTGAGGCTTCTTCTTCACTGAGAGAACAGTGAGTGGATGTGATGAGGAGAGTGCTCTGTATTCACCACCATAGAACCATACAAACCAAAATCCAGACAGTTTGTCTCCCTTCCTCTTTACAGACTCTGCTAACACACCCAGTAACCAGTACGTATTGTCTCCAACCTGGACGTCCCAGCTGTGAGTCCCTGAGTTAAAGCCCTCAGAGCCCAGGACAGACCAGTGATGATCAAACCTCTCTGGATTATCAGGAAGCTGCTGTCTCTCTCCTCGTGTCACACAGGTCAGATCTTCAGACAGGATGAAGACTGGATGAGCAGTGTTTGGGTCCAGAATGACCGGACTGTAGGAGACCATGTCCTTCATCTTGTTCCAGATGTTGAAGCTCAGGTTGCCCAGGTGTTTGGCCTGGTCTATCAGAGCTCCTGAGGGCAGCTGTGGATCCTCCAGCAGGGGGCGCTGCTGGACTCTTTCCACTGCAGCCTTGTAGTTTTTCAGGAATGAGACGTCTTCAGCTCTCAGCTCGTCCTCTGTGTCTCTGACTGTGTGTGAAAGAGCTGCTATCTCTCTGCTCAGAGCCTCCATCTCCTCCTTCATCCTCTGACTCTTCTGCTCCTCTTCCTCCCTCAGTGCACACAGCCTGACCTCCTCTTCGTCTTCTAGAAACTGGTGAAGCTTCTTAAACTGTTCCTTAATCTGCCTCTCTGTGTGTCGGGCCTGGACCTGAATGTGTTCTGCTGTTTGATCAAACTTCACTTTAACTTCTTTAAAAACATTTAACTTCTTCTTTACCGGCTCCAGAGTTTCCTGAAGTTTCTTCTTGTGTTGTCGAGCAGCTTCATCGATGGGTCTGAATCTGTGCTCAGAGTGTTTTTCTGAATCTCTGCAGACGACACACACCGGCTCCTGATGGTCCAGACAGAAGAGTTTGAGTTTCTCAGAGTGCAGACTGCAGAGATCCTCTGAAGCGCTCTGATCTCTCTCCTGCACAAAACTGTGGCAGATCGGACAGCTCAGATCTTCTTTTAACTTGGACGCCATTTTATCTCAGAGTCAAAACACGCAGCAGAAGAAAACAGGAAGCCACTCCCTGTCCCTGAAAGTTTCTCTCACTTTGATTGTTTTTCTTTGAAACTCTCGTTCAGTTTGTGGATTCAGCAGCAGGTTGAAGTGTTTGTATTCCCAGTATCCCAGTATAACAAGTACTCCCAGTATTCCCTCCTCCTCCTCCTGTCCTCTCTCAGTGGAAGTCGTGCTGGTTTGTGTCTGCAGGTCGGTCCGTCTGTCAGCGTGTGTGTCTCTTCAGAGTGAGGCAGAATAACAGCCTGTTTCCTGGTTTGTCTCAGGTGAGACAGGTGAGGGGGCGGAGCTTCTTCAGAGCAGGAACGCAGAAAACAGTGTCATTTCTCTTGCTGCAGCTTGAAGTGAAATCTCTAAGACAATCTTGTTGTCATTAGTTCCACTACATCTCTGTCTGGAGCTCTTTCTGCATGAAGAGCTCAGTCAGGTCTTCAGTCTGTATGTCAAAGTTTGAGTGAAACCAAAGCAACCAAAACAAGGAGAACAGGATTCAAAGAGACGTGAACAGTCTTCTTATTTAATGAGGGAGGAAATCCAGTGAGACCAAGTTAGGAACCATAAGTTTAATACCTGCAGTGACTTGATTTTTTATCAATCAAAAAGCCTATGATCCTCTGAGGGGCTGACAGCCTCCCATACTTTCTTTATTGACGCGTCGTCCTCCGTGTGGCGTGCCAATAACTCGGTCAACAACATCCGTGCAATCCCGCTCAAACGGGTTTAATCTGACCTCGTCTGTTAACGCAAAGCCTCCGTTCATCTACAAACATTTATCTGCTATAACTTGAATGCAAACACAACAGGCTCAATGTTCAGTCCACGCTACGGCGGTCAAAAAACGGAGTGCCTCCATGGTAGGCTGCTCGTCTCCCTTTGATTTCACCTGAACACCCCCTACTGGAACGACAAGGAACTACAACAGAGAACACACATTTTGAACAAACTACAATGTCTTTAACAATACTAGGGCCGACCGATATGAGTCTTTAGGGCTGATACCGATATATCGGCCGATATCTGTCTTAGATCTGTAGAGATAGATTTAGATATTTATTGTGTTGATCTCTCAGTTATCAAGACTTAGACTTAGACTTAGACTTTCTTTATTGTCATTCAAACTTGTACTTTACAGAGCAGATAAGAACGAAATTTCGTTGCATTTGGCTCGTTGTAGTGCAGGATAAAAACAGCAGCATGTATTTACATATAAAAATAAAAATAAGGTGCAGACATAAATAGATATAAAAAGAAAAACTATGAGTAAAAATACTATACAGATAAATATATTACACGTTACATTGTGTTTTACAGTCCAGTGAGGTAGTCCTGTGTGGGGGTTTGAGGGGGAATGGAGGGATTATTTTTTCCTGTTCAAAAGTCTTATGGCCTGTGGGGAAGAAGCTGTTACAGAACCTGGAAGTTCTGCTTCGGAGGCTGCAGAACCTCTTTCCAGAGTCCAGCAGCGAAAACAGTCCTTGGTGGGGGTGGGAGGTGTCTCTGCTGATTTTCTGAGCCCTGCTCAGACAGCGGATCTTTGCGATCTCCTGGATGGGAGGAAGTGGAGTCTGAATGATCTTTTCCGCCGTCCTCACCACTCTCTGCAGGGACTTCCAGTCGGAGGCACTGCAGGCTCCGGACCAGACAGAGATGCAGTTTGTTATGATGCTCTCTATAGTGCCTCTGTAGAAGGTGATGAGAATAGGAGGAGGGAGGTGTGCTCTCTTCATCCGACGCAGAAAGTGCATGCGCTGCTGCGGCTCAGGTGTGAAGGGACCAGGTCAGAGTGTCTGTTATCTGCACCCCCAGGAACTTTGTGCTGCTAACTCTCTCCACTGCTGTGCCGTTGATGAGGAGTGGTGTGTGGCTGGGCTGGCGCCTCCTGAAGTCGACGATGATCTCTTTGGTTTTATCGACGTTCAGGGTCAGGTTGTTGGTTCTGCACCAGTCAACCAGATGTTTCACCTCCTCTCTGTAGTCCATGTCGTTGTTGTCACGGATGAGGCCCACTACTGTTGTGTCGTCTGCAAACTTCACGATGTGGTTAGTAG